GTTTGAAAGGCTAATAATTTATACCCATATTTACATTCCGAATGGCTGTAGCTTTTGTCAAACAACACTGAAAGAGAACTGCAAACAGGTGGGGTCAGGGGGGTGAGGGGGGCTGGGGGTTATCAAGACTGGAGCAGATTTACACTGCAGCCAATCCGCTTCTCTGTCTCATGTTCAAATCTTACCTGAGCAAACTGAGGAGAAATGCTGATTGGTTGCCATGGGCAACTGTTCTAATTTTGATTGCCTCCAGTATACCATGTGAATGTCTCCATTGCAGTGTGCAATTATCATTTCTGATCACTGGAATCCATAAAGAATTATTTGTATGTACAGTATATATCTATATTTCTGTAGTAGAATTGTTTCTGGCAGAATGTTCTCTGTGACACAATACTTACACATGTGACACGATTTACTCCAACATGGAAGAACTCTTTATTTCCCTCTACTTCCCTTATCACCGATAAGGCGTTATTTCCCTATTAATTTGTCGCATAGCGCCAGAATGTAAAAGTGTCACACAAAAAACTGTCTCATGACTGGTTACAGGAATTTCTGCAATGGCCATAACGCCAGAAACATGTCGCTGATGCTTTACTGAATTGCTCCCATTGTGTTATTCCTGCAGTGGACTCCCTCTTACTACATGCTATTGATTCTTAAAGCGGAACTCCAGGCAAACAGCTAATTATGCAGTTGAAATACATATATGTTATCAGGCTTATCCGCCAAAGGATTTGTAATTCTGTTCAACCAGTCTTGTGATCCAGACACCTTTTTTGTTTTACATGTGCCATTCTATAGTCATGAATTGTGTTGGTGAATATTACCATGAACGTTAAAACCAGGATATATTAGAAGCAGATTTTTTTCTTTTTCTGCTATGTGTGAAGAGCTATTACTGGTGAGAACAGTTCACAAATCAACAGGGCTATAGATGTAGTGTGTTATCTGTACTACGGATAGACTTGTGGCACCTCTTAGTACACCATACAACCCCCTGCATTCACCAAAATCTATTGTTAGATTTCGCCACAGGTTTCTAGTAGTAGACAAAGACAAAATGAAACAGTAAGGATACATTCAGATTGACTTCCTAAAGGAATAGAGGCCGTTCATTTAGAAAAGTGAATGTTCACTTTGCAAAGTGTATGTTGGTGAACAAGGTAAAGCTCTGCTGACTTTCAAGTGGTACTAAATGCTAGTAGTTTTTTACCTCAATGCATTCTCTGAATTAGGGTAAAAAAATGTCCAGTACCAAACATTTACCTATGGCCCCTTGTGACCACCACTGGGTCCAGGAAGATCTGTGCTGTTCTCCGGGTTGTGGAGGAGGATACTGAGGGCAGCGGAGCGATAAGCTCCTGTTGCTGTCAGTCAGATTGTTGGGAGGAGAGCGAAAGAGGGAGCAGGGGCATGGCTTGCCGGGCACTGTGTATGTGTCTGTGGACGCACACAGCTAGGCATGGTCCCAGGTGGCAACACGCACACATGGGTGTCTCCTCCGCAACCGGCTAAAGAAGATACCTGCAAACAGGTATCCCCACACAGCTACCTCCTCATGTATCACTTCCCCCTCCCTTTTTAGATTGTAAGCTCTCAGGGGCAGGGCCCTCCTTTTGTCTTGAATTGTATTGTGATTATGATGTCTTCCTTATATTGTAAAGCGTTGCACAAACTGTTGGCGCTATATAAATCATGTATAGTAATAACAGGCTGGGGGGGCTAGCGGTTTGGGGGCCAGCTGGAGAAGCAGGAAAAAGATAATTTTTAAGAGGAAAAACAATCTCATAATGTAAGTGTGGACGTCCTCTTCTTCAGCAAACCCCCATGGTTTAATGTCACTTTAAATCGTGTGCTAGCGTAAACATCCTTACCCTGCCGCTGTACGCACAATCCTATATACACCTTTTGATTAATGAGGCTCCATCTATGACATGTATACTACATGTCACAGTTATATGACATGTCATAGTAGTATGTATACTACATGTAAAGTTTATAAACAATGATCTTCATCATTTTAGAGCCCCATTTCATAAAATAATAACAATCCAAAATGATGACACTGTGATTGTGTAATATGTAATTTTTACCTAAGGGCTTGTTCACACCAAATGCAGACCAGATCTGCATGAGTTTCTGCACACGCAGCGGAGTGTGTTTTGCAGCGTTTTTGTAAAAAAAAAATAGGGCTTGCAGCAGTTTTTTTACATGCTCTGGAACTGAACGCTGCGGTGTGAACTAGAGCCCAAAATACCATTGGAATACATTGGACGCAGTTTTGATCCGGTCTGTAACTGCTCTGCACCTGGAACGTGTTTGGTGTGAACTAGCCCTAAACATTCTCCTATCATCACTTTTGTGGATATACAATGGTTACATGGAGTGTTCAGCAGACTTTTCTTGTGTGTATTCAAATCAGTAAATAACTTTGTCAGCCAAGGAAATAAGAGGAGTTACAATTTATTGCCTGATACAACACAGGAAAATATTTTTACAATGCTAGCTTTATTTATAAGGTCAATAAAATAATTCATCTCACATTAATCAGCCAGTAAATTTAGGAGGAACTTCAAACCAATGGCTAAATACACCATTAGAATTCATGTACAGTATGTGAATTGTTTTACCTGACAAGGAATTTGCAGTTCTGTTCAGTCAGTTTTATGATTCACACTCCTCTGCAACAAACCCTTTTCCTGATTCGGCTTTGTAGCTTTCTTTTGAGTCCTCATTATCAGCATGCTTCTTGTCACCACATAAACTGACTATATTTGTCCAGATTTCAGCTTTTGCTATAGCTCCCAGCTGTACTTCATATGGAGGGGCTTTCCCTTTTTGAAGCCAAATCCTGTCCTTCTTTCTCCCTTCTTGTCCTTCTTTCTCTACTATTTAACTACCAAAACTCTTATTCATCACTAAACCTTTCATCCAACCTCTAAAGTATTGTATGTGCGATTTTGAAAGCCAGTATAAAGGAAAGGTAGTGATGAGGAAAGCACTTAACTTTAATTTCTAATCATTTTTGGCATGTTATTTCTTCATGATCCCCGTAACTGAGAAAGTGGAAGGAGCACGTCCATTTCCTCCACATTTTTTGTTATAAAATGTCCCTCTTTCTCATCTAAGAAAGTTGGGAGGTATGATTTACCAGCACGTAAATGCACAAGTATTAACAAGGCCTACATTTTTTATGTATAATAATAAAAAGGATTGCTCCTAAAATTGCTGTTGGCTAGAAAACATGTTAATGTTCGCTGTTCAGTTTGTTTGGAGATATAGTTACGTTGTTTCCAAAGAAACCAAGTTAGTTTAAATTGGCCAAGTGGAATGTTGGTGTTCAGGTAGATGAAGAAGAGGTACGAGTAGAGGGCACAATGGCTCTGAGCCATAAATAGGACAGAGAATTGTTGGCTGAACACCTATCATCGTGTTCTCCTATTCATACTCTTATCTATGTCTCCAGATTCTCTTCGCGGAAAGGGTATGATTATGACTAGTAACTTTTCAAAGCTGTCAGCCGGTTTGCACTGACTACTGTTTATTTAATGTTTACCTATACATGTTTCTAAGAATCATACTGTAAATGCTAGAACAATAATGTAAAATATGTTTTAGCTTATTGGCAAACCATGGCACCTAAGTACATAAAGCAGGCTCTCAAAAGACCTCTTCACCCAAAATAAATTTTGCTGTTTGCTAGAAGCTTCTGAGTTCAATGACATAATGGTCTTTTATATTATGGGTGAGATCACTCTGCTGGCTGGAATTCCCAGATTTGCACCCCTTACACAGCCATCATTAGGGATTCCACTGCCCATGCTGGAGTTTTATTTTTTCATAATAGCAAATGCAACTGGAAGAGTGGGACGATTGGGAACACCCCAAGTTGGGCTGGAGCAGACTCAGGAACTATGGCAGGAGGATCAGTCCTGCAGTCCTCAAGAAATATAAGAAACCTCTTGGGTGACTTAACCCCTGTAAGTGAAATAATTATCTTGCATGGATCTTTTAAAGCTGACCTTCTCTCTCTTTCACAAAAAATTACATCAGCATGCGACTCTGCATGCTGATATGAAATCCTCTTACATTCATTCAGTAAACAAACATATTTTCCTTTTATTTACAATTATTGTTTTTTCCATTTCCTGGTCCGCTTGGGCATTAGTGATGCAGCCTGTGCCCAAGCGTTGCATCCTGGGAAGGTTACATCAGCAGAGCATTGCTGGGAAATCTCATCTGTAATCTCACGAGATCTCAGGGAAAGGCAATATCCTCCCCTGAGATGATGTACATGGTCACATGTCCTAGTCACCAGAGCTGGAGGAAGCAAAAGCATATATAGTCATCGGCCCTTACTAAAAAATGGCCACTGTGAGAAGACTGGGAAGGAAAAGAGAAATAAGGAATGCAAAGAATACAAAGCCAGCAATTTAAGTTACCAAAATATCGTTTTTACTAATAAAATACTAACCATGATAAAAAGTATTCAGTTATTACACTAATATCTGCGCTAGTAGTTTCTGTTACGTTGAACTATTTTGGGTGTTTATGGTGGTTAAAGTGATTTTACTTTTGGATGTTTTTGTTTTTTTTGATGGCTTTCTATGTGCCCCCTGGGACAATTTCTGTCTTGGTGACCATTGTTAGAACAGTAGGAGAGGGGAAATCTTTAAATGGAGAAACCTGTTCCAGTGGCCACTAAGAGGGGTTTTCTTGCTTCGCTGGACAGATTTCCTCTTACTTCCTGTTGTGTTTCCTAAACAAGCAGTGAAGGGAAACCTCCTTAATGGGGAAAGAGCAAAAACTGACAGGAATTTTAGCTTTAGATAAACCTTAACCACTAAAAAATACTTCATAACAATGAATTGCTGACTAGCTATGTAAAGTTGTTTGTAGGCTAACACTTTTTTTTAACAGCAAGCTGCTGTACACCATTTATTTCCTCCCATAGAATATAATTTACTAAGATAGTCATTTTATTTTCTCTACAGGGGAACATTTGTCGGCTGAGACTCACTTTGCCCGCTGATGGGAATGTACGATCACAGGAGAAAGAATCCAAGAATGAAAATCAAATACATGTAAGTGAATGACCTGAATGGTGGTCTGAAACTCTGTTTGCTCCGTTATGTAAAGTGTTTGAAAATCTGTTGATGATGTGTTGCAGAAGTCAAGTTTAAGTCTGTCTTATGTCTGTGAAGGTTCTCATTCATCCAGGTCATGGTATATCTGTAAAAAATAAGTCAAGGCAACTGGACTTGCTGTATTTTTCTTGAAGAATAGAAAAATACAGCAGGTCCAGTTGCCTTGACTTATTTTTACAGGTAAGCCTGTCTTAATTTCTAGTATAAGTCATTGTTTGCTGTTTTATTCTGCATTTCCCTATAGAGAATGCTTCATTATTCACTTTAATAGCCCTACCACTATCACAGAAAAAACATATTTAGCACATCTTTGCAGTACATTTACCATTTTCCCAGTTTTATCCATATAAACATGCGGAATGTACAGACAAATAACTGTTGATGTGCCAGACATATAGTATGCACCTACTTTACTTTTTGGAATGGCAATACAGCTCTGAATTCCTGAATACATGCTGTCAGCTCTGCCAACTTCATTTCTAAATTCCACAGAACACAATCCTTTCCTTATCCCCCCTCCCCATTTCTCATCTCCATAACCTCTCCTTTTGCACAGAGGGCACCGGAAGTTATCAGCTTACACAATTTTTGACAAAATCAACAGGTATTTTTTTGCAGTTATCAAACAGATATGACAAAACAAATGCAATGGTATAGTTAGCAGATCAAAAGAGATCAGATAAGAGAAGTTCAGTGTTGGGGGTTTACATATACATTAATGTACAACAGGGCTCCAATTCCCAAATCCAGTTACTAAGTGATACACAAGCCTCATAAACAAACAAAAAAAACTTCCTTTACAATTCTTCCTTTGTTTGTGTCTCCCCCACATCCCACCCCAGACACTACAGCTCAGAGTTAGATGGTTTCAGTAGCAGAGGCAGTGCTGCAATCCAAAAAGTAGTGGGCAGGACTACATCTGGTCAGGTGTTGATTGACAAGCTTTAGGCTTAGGAATCAGCAGTGACAATGCTAATAGGAAACATCTTTTCATCCTGCTGTAGTGCAAGCAGGCACAGACATGAGTGACAGACCTGCTCTGAATTCAGGAGCAGTGCAGCATCGCAGCCCCACCATCACAGGAAGCTCCATAGGTGGACCTCACTGCCAGGATAAACTGATATTTGTAGGACTGTGCAGGGAGAGTAGGAGAAAACAGTAAGTGCAGAATTAGTTATATATAAGTGTTGCAGCACATTTTTTAATGGGAGGCAATAGTTCTACATTAACACACGGCTGTGTTATGGACAGCATAAGGATGCTAGAGCAACTGGAGGCAAAAAGGAAGAACACAAAGAATGTGTCCTGGTTGGAATACAACCCGGAATGCCGAAACTGCACCTTTCTAACTTCTTCTTATTGCATGGAATTAACCCATCTGGCAATCAATCAAATCCTAACAAATATGTAGGGAGACTAAGGACTGGTTCACACCTGGGCGTTTTACAGCGCGTTCCTACGCTCTGTAAAATGCTCAACATGTGAAAACCAATGATTGCCTATGGGTATGGTTCCCACCTGGGCGTAGAAACGCGCTGCAAAACACCCTGCGCCCAAAGAAGTACAGGGGCTTCTTTGGGGCGTATTTGCCGCGCGTATCCATTGGGATACAGCCAGGTAGCCCTCGGAAACGTGCGTTTGTCGTGCTGTTTTTTTTTACCTCGAATCGCGGTAAAAACGCACGGCACGAAGCGCACATATTCGATACGCCTAGGTGTGAACCCAGCCTTAAAGGAAACATTGAGGGGCATCACCCCCTTTTTTAGTCACTAAACTGCAGGTCTGCTGGGTTTAAAACATTAGTGAAATACACCAGACTCAGTTCACTAACTTCAATTCACTAAGTTATCATGCATGGTTTAGTTTCCTTACAATCATTATTTTTCAGATCTCATTGGTCATTGTTGCTGAAAATAATAATTGTTTTGGCAATTGTGGATTGGTATAGTTTAGTGAATTAAGTTATTTCTAATAAATGGCCATTATCATTTCCTGGCCACATTGACAGGTGACCCTAGTGGGTGAAGCTAGATACAACATAAGATAGTGGTATGTAAACGTTAATCAATCAGGGCTGTTGTGCCGTACCACTGTCCCAAAATATTTAAATATGATATTTAAAAACCAGAAGGGGAATTTAAAGGAACAGAATGAAAATCCAACACATTACATCTGTTAAAAAAAATCTTTATAGTTGTATTACATAAAGGAAGAAATCTATTTAAAAGCAACATGAAGTTAATCACTATTGACATTATTGCACAATTGTCCACAATGCCTCCTCATATTAACCGACGGTCCAATCATTTTATTATCACAATTAGCGAAACAATGTTCGTATATCAACTCTAGCTGGTGGTATCCAAACCATCAGGAACACATGGTGAGGAGGCATTGATGTCTTCCCACCATGTGTTCCTAACTGTTGTAAAGTACAGGGCTCACATAACTGCACTGTCACAAATCCACACACGTGACACTTATATAGCTTTAGTTGCACAATGATTTAATTTCCTGTATTTATTGTTTTCATGTTTTGTTTATATTTGGACTAAAATAGATTTAATTGTTATGGATTATCCTTTGGCAACTTCATCAGGTACTGTTTTTTGCCAAACCTTGAAACTATTTTTATAGACTGTCTTAGTGACATTTGTTGACACCCACCACTGTTTTCAGACACAATATTTATGCAAGTGCAGAGTGAGAAGTAACACATAGACACAACAACACACAAGAAAACCATTCCACAGTCATGTGGAACCATTCTACAACATGTGGTGTTTATAGTGTTTACAAAAATGGTAGACCTGTATTGCATCAGTTCTCACTGTATTATCATTTTACAATACTTTATTCATATATTTTTAATCAGGTTGGGAAAGAACAATGCCTCTTTCTGCAGAACCTCAGAAAAAAGCAGATACACACACATATAGCCTTTGCCTACTTTTGTGTCCAGTATTATTGGATAAATTAGATTATACAGTTAGAAGCATGACACTAACATTAAGTGGCGTCAAGTCAAGGGCAGCTTTGGGTGACCACATGGGTAGTGTGTCTCCACAATGATCAGTCTACTGTTTGTCTTCAGTCTTTGCAATGACATGTTCATACTTTCTGTGACTGTATCCAGCCACCTCATTGCTAGTCCTCCTCTTCTACTTTTACCTTCAACTTTTCAAACGACAATTGCCTTTTCCAGTGAGTAGGTTCTTCAAACAATATATCCAAAATAAGACAGATTCACTATAGTTATCTTCGCTTCTAGTGAAAGGCAGGACTTGATTTGTTAATATTCAATGATTCAAGTCTGTGGTGCCCAGTCTGCATCCTGAGGGTCACATACAGCCCTTTGCTGTTTAAAGAAGAACTCCAGGGAAAATTGTATTAACCCTTTCTGCAAGGTTTAAGTGCTCGTTTTTGTCTAGGTGCTAAAAAAAAAAGTTATACTCATTAGACCATCTGAGCCGACTTGTTCTTGGACTGGTGTCTGGAGCGTCTCTTCCTCTCTGCTGCAGCAATCTAAGGATCCTGGTGTCATCACGCTCTATATGGCAGACATTAAATACAGCGCTGTCCCAATTGTACCTCAAAATCGTGGAGCTTAGTGAAATATAGTTTGGAAAAACAAAGTCAGCTTTTTCATTGGTTAGGGAAATTGGGGGGAGGGTTTAAAAGTTATTGTTTCTTATTGTTAACTGTTTTGAGATCCATTATACATTTTTGTAAGGTTTTATGTTTTAGAGCTAATTTCTTTTAAAGTTCTCAAACACAATTTGTATCTGTTTCCTGATGTTTTCACAGATCACCTGACCAAATGATAAGGTGGCTGTGTATGCATGTTTGAATTACAACAATACGGTAATATGTAGGGTAGCAATCGGCCCGCGGAGCTGAAAATTAATCATATGTCCTGCTAGGTGCTTCCAAACATCATGAGTGATTTCTACTAGAATTTCAAGCTGCTGTGTGGATAGGTTTTCATGGACTGAAACTGCAAGAGCGTCATCAGAATGTATGCACTGTAAGCTAAAGTTTCACAATGAAATTCTCACATGCGAGCACTTTTAACTGATGGTTAAAGCAGCTAAACTGCAAGGTGAAGCTCAACTAAAAACCAGAGTCCCGAAACAAGAACAAAGCCTGCAATTTAACCCTGCTGTAATTATACGGCTTCTCAATATGTCACACTGTCAGCATATAAAACCTTTACAAGTTAATCACACATTTCTCATTTATGCTGACAGCAATTTTATTGAAATATGAAACTTCTGCTCAATGCAAAAGAGATTTCCTAATTAAAGGAGAACTATGGGGATAGGGCTTTTCCCCATAGTTCTCCTTAGGGTAACGGGAGGACACAAACTAGCGTTCCCCCCCCTCACCATAGGCTCAGTATACCGCGAGCTGCTGCCAGTAGATATACTGGCCTCCAAGACCTTTGCTGCCAGCCATAACCCAGCGCAGGCCCTCCCTCTGCTTCAGTCCTTGGTTGCTAGGACCGCTGGCTTTCTGAGGTTAATTCTGTTTCCAGCCCGAGTTGTGGTTACTGGGCTGGGTTGTTGCATTTTATTATAATATTGACATTTAAGTTATTCATTATTTATATATTATAATAATTTTTGAAACCAGTAAAAAGGGTCGTAGCCAATTTATGCCCAGTGTGTTTATTTAATTTCATTGTGTTTTATGTGTTTGCTTGTCGTGCTGTCTGCAATCCGATTGGATATCATACTGCTGTCGTAGGGCTGTCTGTGGGTTATAGGTTAGTCTTTATTATGTAAAACACACTGCAGACACATAAGCCTTTGTTTCATTTTTGGCATTGTGATGTTTGCTCTGCTACATGGTTTTCTTGCTGTGAAATATTTGCCTGTCCTTGCTGCATTGTTTGTTATTGTTGGCATGTATTGTATTTGATAAATTACTACAAA